TATATACATGTATATAAACATAGCAACGTTATTGAGAGATCATTTAACAGGAAGATTTATCAATAAAAGAGAAAAAAAAATGTACTCGTGTAAGAATTGAAAAATATACGGCTCATTTAAGTGAAGGTTCGTGATTTTAAAAAACTAAACGTGTGCTGTTTTTGTAGTCAGCATTGTGATTTAACTGTTTGTTGCATGTGAAAATGAACAATATATTCTTTGTATAACATTGAACAATAATAAAAATAGTTAAAAACTAACCCAATCTTTTAAGCCTTTAAATTTCTATTTATGCATAATGATAATAATAGTTGTAAATTTATATTTAAAATGCTGTTTAAAAATATATAGAACGAAAGAAAAATGCTCATTCAAAACTTTAAAGCCACTCCCAATAAATATCCGAAATAATTTTCTTGCAATTGTAATTTTTAGAATTATAACTTTTATATCTTTTTTTTTCTCGTCAATAACAGATGGCGCTTGGGTTTGTACACTGACGTTTGGCCTGAGTTCAATTGGTATGCAACAATGAATTAGCAAGGCACTTGGTTTTATTATTAATTAAAATCGGAAAATGTCTTCGCATTTAGAGATATTGGAAAGCAGTCTTGAAAAATTTATTGAAAATGTAAGACAAATAGGTATCATTGTAGGCGACTTCCAGCCTCAAGGACAGACTGTTCTGAACCAAAAAATGTATGTTTTTTTTAACGTTATTAATATTGATGTTAGTATTTATACTGATTTACTTATTAGTAATAGTATACTATTGAGTATCAGTATTAGTTATCATCTTAGGCGTATATTTTATATGAGTGATTGTATCATCTGTATCGATATCAAGCATTCAGCACAATCAACTTAAGATTTAAGCCTGTAATTTAAGGTTTATAACATTATTTTATGATCGCATTCACAGTCTCCAGAGTAAATTTTTATTTTTAAATTTAATATTTGATGGTGTTAGTGTTCTTGTTAGACCACAGGGAGAAGTCACTTCTGTTTTACTAAAATCTTATGGTACCCCAGATGAGAAACACTATGTAACCAATTTGCTAGTGACATTTGGAGAGAAGGAAGAATAACATTATGGGCAGCAATATAAGGTTAATTTTATTGCATGCTTGAAATGCATTTTAGTTGACTGCTAAATTTGGCTAAGCATAAAAAGCAAAGTTTCAGATTTTCTAGGATAACCTGCATGTTGGTCAGTCCTGTGAGTTTTTGCATTTGTGAATGATTTGTTCTAAATATATTTAGTTACTGTTAATGAATTCCTTGAAAATGTCATTTTCATTAAGATATGGTTAGCAACTGAGCTTGTACTGTTTCTCATTTAATAAAACTAAAAGTAGAATTCATCAATTTTGTCACTTTGAATTTTTGTCAAGTTGTTTTTTGGCCTGTTTACAGAAATCAAATGGTGACTTTAATGCAAGAAATTGAAAAATCTAAATGCCATGTTCAAGATATTCAAGTACCATTGGAGGTGTTTGAGTAAGTGATTGTATGTTGCATACAATGTATTTATATACACATAGTTAACTTTTGAATATGATTATTTTAACATAACATAATGTTTTGGACAACGTGGACCTATTGTTCCATCCTCTAAGTAATTTAGAATATTTTTAAAAAATCTGAAAGCCAGCCATTATCATTCATATACTTATCAAGCTTTTTCTTAAACTCACTTAAATTTACTGCCTCAACAACATCTGAAGGCAACCCATTCCAGAGTCCAACCACCCTGTTAGAAAAATAAAACTATCTCAGCTGAAGATGACTCCTACCTTGCACAATTTATACTTGTGTCCCCTAGTCCCAGTATTCTCATTGTTAAATATAAAAAAAGATGATACATCAACACTATGAATTCCCTTTACAGTCTTAAATACCTCAGTCAGATCCCACCCTAACTCTTCTTTTTTCCAAGAGAAAATAATTTAAGAGATTTCAGCCTCTCTTCGTATGACAACCTCTCCATCCCAGGCACCATTCTAGTAACCCTTCTCGAAACC